GTAATTGATGTTTGTGTCTTGTATGTTTAAAGAGCTTTGAACAACATTGATAATCACTAAGGAATATAGCACAAAAAATAGCAAAAGAATACTCATGATATAATCCAAATTTTACAACTCTAAATTAAGCCTCATTTATTGTCTCATCATAAAATGCCTAATTTTTTCGCAAGGGCCATCAAAGAATCTAATTACAATAATTCATGATTTTTTTCAAACGGAGATCTTATATATATATATATATATATATATATATAATATATATGCCAAAGGTTTAGAAGTTTTTTAATTGATTGCCGACAAAGTTACGGTGACATGCTGTACGACTCAAGCTGATAATCAAGTGAGTTGCTAAATGCTACCTAGAATTCAAATTTATTTATTAACTATCTGTTAAATAGATTAATATTAAATAGGTAAGTTTAATGTTAAATGTTTGTTACATTAACATTAGCAATAAATAGACTTTGTAATTAAAGTTAAAAAGCTAAAACTTTTTATTATGAATAGATGCATAGATTGAGTAAATAGCAGTTATAGTTTGGGGCCCACTCTCCTATACTTATCTGCATTGGATCAGTTGTTGTCACGGCATGAGAGAAGAAAAGTGGAGCAAATGAAGTGGAGTTCACGGGATAGGAGCCGCCAATCATTAAAGGAATTCGCAGGAATTCCTGTAGAAAGAGGCGATTATGTTCCTTGTTCGGAGGCATACAGGTGGAGACCGGAGGCCTCCTGTAGCAGAGTTCGGCACAGTGGTTTCGGTACTGTAGCAAGAAGGGATGGAGAGTTGGCTTGGTAGTGATAGCATGTAATTATATTAGGGAAGTTCGGAACTCCCTAGGCAGTATTCCTGCAGTAGTGAAGTGCAACACTTTGAGGAAGGAGTTAGGTCATATTTTCTGTAGCAAGATGTTCAACACATTGATGGAAAGTTCTGACATGGCAATAGGGATTTTCTAGTGCAGGTATTGACTTAACAGTGATCTTATTAGTGAATTGGAATATTAATAAACAGTAATCATGACTTAATTGTGGTTAATATATTTTGTGATAAATTATAGTTTGATATAAGGGTGAAAAATAAATTGGGGACTTAGTGAATAAAGTTTAAGAGAAGAAATTTAAAAAAAGAAGGTAAGAAGTATAGTGAGTGTCGTCATTTTTTTATGTTACCTAAAATTAATAAAGTTTCTAAAAGATGATAACATATTCATATTGTAGGATTATTCATATATTTATGCAGAAATAAAGTTTTGGGTTTGTGTATCAAAGGAAAAAGCTTCGTGGTGTAGGTTTTGAAGAGATCACCTGTCAGGAAGATAAGTTATGTAATTATTTATAATTATAATGATCATGAATAGTTAGTCTATACTTTATGTTTTGAAATTTTATTATAATGAGAAGCATTATGAGAATTTTGTTAGTCATCATGAGAATACATTGGAGTATTCACAAATGTCTATTCATGAGAATAAGAGAGATTGGATAGATGTTCAGGTGTGCTTATTTCAACCTTTTCTTAATTGATAAGTCTATGCAAAGAAGTTTTCTTTTTAACTTAGTAGCTATCAAATTCTTAATACACCTGGTGTATGAGTATAATCATACTTGAAGGACCAGGATTCCGATGAGAGAATCCGATTGCGCTCCATACTATCTTATCAACACCGCTGGCCTTCCGGCCGACCGTCGGATCCACCAGTTGCGGAAGAAGACGCCGAAGAAGACGAACAGAAAAAACGGAAAAAATTTTGAATTCCCAGAGTTTCTCTCACTAAGTTTCTCTCACTATTTATCAAGCTTAGGGATATAAAGTTAAAAGTAAAGATTTGATTATTCTATGATATGATATCTGCAATATCAGGTGGGCAAAAGGGAACCAATTACTAAACTTGTATTATAGGTGGGGCAAAAGGGACCCTAAAAGAAAGGATACTTGCATAGCATGTGAGGCAAAAGGGATCCCTAATGAGGCAAAAGGGACCTCAATGTAATTCAATGACGATAATGTCAGGTTTACCTGGCTCCATTGAATATTGTTATGAATGTATAGCCAAGTCTTTTACATATTTAATTTTGATATTCAGTGTAACTATGAAGAGGTAAAGAATAATGTTAATTAAGATTTATGATGTTGTTATTAATAAATGAGTTTAATGATTTATGACTTCAAGGCTTTGATTTATTCCTATTGTTATATTATAACTGTGATTTAGATTACATAATTTGTTGGGCCTCATAGCTCACCTGTTACTTCTTACTGGCTGTTTTTACAGGAAAAGGAAAAGAGGGGAAAGTTTGATATGCAAGTATTTAAGTTTTATGTCAATGTTTATTTAAATTTTGAAATCTACACTTGAGGTTAGCAAACAGCTTTAATGTTGTATAACTTTGAATCTTGGATTTCCTTAGTGGCTCTGTACTAAGTCTTTGATACAATGAAATTTGGAAACTATTGGATGCTTCCTTTGTTGTACTAAATAATGTTTATATGATCTTTCATATAAATCTAGAATGATGAACATAAATGAGTGGTAAAGAAATGAAAATGTTATGGTTATTATTGTTATACTCTACAGTACAGTTATAGTTATATTGTGGGGTGTTACATATGCTTCTATTTAAAATTAGATTTTATCTCAGCCTCTGGTAATACGATTATCATTCTATTTTTTATTAAAAAAACATGAATTTAAATAAAATGATTATTTATCATAAGAAGGTTGTAAAAGAGTACTTTTTTAGGGCAAGGCCAATAATATAAAAAGCTCAAACTTATTATGTCAATTATGACAAGCCTAATTGATTGTCTGTTCAAAGTTATTGGGCAAAAACAAGAGAATTAAAATGTCATTGAGCATAGAGCCATTGATAATGACTAGACATAACCTCCATTGTCTTCATAAATAATGTGTTGCAAATCTATCTTCAGTCAATATACAAGAGTATCATAAAATCTATCGTGAGGTCTTCCTTATTTGTCCTTTAAACTTAATTATTAGGGGTTTAGAAGTCGTCTATTATTCATGAAAAGTTTGGTAGTTTTATATTTTATTTTAAAGATAATTTATCATATTTAGTAAGATGTATTTCTATGAATAGAGCCAAATCATTTAACTCAAACTGTTGAAATTCAAAATGAGGTGCAACTTTTGATTTAGCATTCCGTCTCCAAACCTTTGGGATTTCCTCTTGTTTTCTCCCTCTAACTCCTCACTATTAAGCAATGTAATCGAGTTAAACCAACTCATGACTTAGATGCCAAGCTCAATAAATAAGGGGTCAAACTTGGGTTAGTCCCCATCTTGACATGTCAACTCGTAAGTGAGGTCATTTAAACAAAAATTAATATAAAATAGGCTAAAAATTATTAGAATTAAATAGTTTAAGCCTTAAGTTATAAAAATTAAAAACTCCCTCTTTTCCTTATCTCAATTAATTTCTTATTATTTCTTATACAATTTATCATTTATTTCTATCATTTTATTACAAAAACAATTTAAATTGAAAATAATTTCTCCCTTCCGTAATAAATGAGCAAACTCATGAGCCACGTCAAACTCATTAAATTACTCAAAATCTACTAGTTAATTAAGCTAAAGATTAAGTTGGGACTAACTCAAGCTCATTTGAACTCATTTACACCAATACCTACCTACCTTCCTGTGAGGCGCTCATGCGTCTAATTTTATCCTTTTTTTCTCCTCATCTCTCATTTCTTCCTCTATAGTACACAAGATTCTTCTTCCAAAATATCAAAATAAAAAATATACCACAATTGTTGATTTTGTCACCCCATTCAACTTCAATTTTAGCATCAAAACCAAATGATTTACCAAAAGTTGTACCACTAGAGAACCAATCATTGTCTACCAACACGAGGACCACACCAATCTCAAATATCACTTCCAACATATTGATGCCATCAAACGGGGGAGAAGTCCACTAGCTATTTGGTGCGAAGAAAAATAGTCTTGCACCATATTGCTTCTTCAACCTCAGCAATACCTCAATGGTCTTCTTATTAATCCTCTTATCTTGTCCAGAATCATGTCTTCCCTAAGCTTTGCTCTCCCACAAGAGTATTTTTGTGGTTGAGGGAAACATTAAAGATGACTTTCTACTACACATGCTCTTCGACCTTGCCTCCTTCACGCATATCCTGTACCCTCTTGACGTAGGCTAACACTAACCCTGTGATTAAGAGTCTTGGGATATCCAACCTTATCTCAAACCAAGAAGTCACAACCACCTATGTCTACAAACTCACCACTCCTTGCATCATGCACAAAATGCTCTTTCGTGTTTACCTACTACAAACAAACAACAGTCAATTGCGATCACTCACATCCACTTAAGTCATGCACATATCACAACCATTTGTCATTTTGTCACTAACACTATCACTCATGTACATCACTAGTGTTCACTTAGGAAAAAAATCAGCCTAAATTAAGCACAAATCATTCAACGAGAAAATCAACCAATATATGTGGTCCATACGAAAGCTCAGTAGATTATGACAGAAATGGAGGTAAACATAGTGTCACATGAGATTGACTAAGAATGTCCTAAAGCAATCATTCATTTTGACAAAGGAACCTTTATAAAGCAGTTAAAGGTCAAAATGATCAAGATCAGCCTTCCCATATCGCTCAAATGACAACACAAAAAGAACGATACAATGTTATCACTTAGCCTTCTTAATGTTACCGCATTCTTTTTTGTGCCTATCCATATCATCTAAAAAAAATTCAGATATAGTATCTCGAATAGATAGTTAAATCGTACTTTCCAATAAAGCATTTTCATTCATCTATATCTATTGTTCATAAATCAATGTCCCTATTCATTTGCCTTAAATATTAAAGTGCAACCTATAAAAGTAAAACTTACTAGTTAGTACTCCATCATTGTAATTGTGTGGACATAACTTCCATTATAGAGGCATAATATGATTACAAAAATGAATAAAACAATTAAGAGGATACTTTTACCTTTGATATTGCAGGATCCATTGTTCCTCTATAGGATGCTGAGAGGCCGAGCAATAGCCCACAAGTAGTAATGTCATGTTCCTGTGACAATCATTCAGTCAACAGTGAAAACATTTACAGTCAGAATTGAAAGGTACCATTAATCACTGCAAGAACTGAAAAGATTAAAGAAATATCCAAAAAAACAGAATGAAATAAAAGGAGTTAGACAATCAATATCAGTCGATTTTCAAATACATCAAAAATGAACTAGAGGTTGCTTTTCAAATACACCAATAAATTACATTGCATTTGAAATAGAGCCTATCAAACACCAGAATTTATAAGTGCATGCATTTGATTTACATGATACCAGTAATCCATCAAACCAAACTCCTATGAGAGTGGTGTTAGACAATCAATATCCTTGGAGATTTATGAAGTTAAATGAAACGCCAAGAATCTTCCTCAAGATATTTACCCTTCTCCTTTTTTTATGTCACCCACCACACCCATCCCTTCCTTCTTACTGCATTCACTATACTTTGTATTCTTCCCACCACCAGTCATCTAATTTCTCCTTCACTGTTGCCCCTCAAAATCACAACTCTCCCAAGCAAAATTCCATCATTTTGTTATCATATCAGATTTGGAGAATTGAAGAACAATGAGATGCAAAACCTAATAGAATGAGTTATATCAAATCCATTCAACAAATTTTCTCCCCTCTGCGCATTTAATGGAAAAGACTCCACACAGATGTTCATCACTTCTACTACCATTTTCTTAACTTGTTCCCGAAATTACTGCAATTTCATCTTCTTCCCCTTAAAGTTCCTTGAAAGGTGCTCTGTAAATATTGCTTTGTGAACAGAACTTCAGAGCTGCATTCTACATATGGCCCACTCCCTGCTACATGAATCAACCACCACCAGCAACTCCAAAGGAAAAAATTTGTCCTCTTAACCTACTGGCAATTCAGAAACCTTGTTGTTCACCTAAGGTCATGGCATCAGCCCTAAGGAGCTCACTTCTGCTCTTCCAAAGAAGTATTAATTCCCCTTGAAAAAGGTCATATTTATGTTGTTTGGCAAATCTAGCATCTCATGCGGACATTATCTGTCATGACCCGGCTAGATGCCCAAATTAACGAGATGGTAACATATTGTTGGACGGGTTTAAAATTTTGATTGCTAAAACTCTTTCCCATATACTAAAAGAGCCACTAAAATTTCAAATGTATTTAGATAAAAAGCTATAAATACCTTTCTCTCAAAGTACTGTGCCTAAAATACACGTTCTATCCTCTTCCACTAATTTAAAGTATTTGGATTATACTTCAAAACGTTTGCAATTATAGAGTGCATCACCACTTCGTGAGCACATTATGCTTCTAAATTACATTAATTCAAAGCCTTTGGAACACTACGCATGTTTGTTGTAAACTATAACTTTATTTAAACTTTAAATTTAAAAATGGCCATAAATGATATTATATGCATTTATAAGATAATTATATCATGTCATAAATTTTTCTGTAATTAATATAATCGTCGTAGGAGACACTGTCTAAATAAAACCAATGAAAATACTTTCAATTCAATTTCCTTTTCCATTTTCTATTCCAAAGCATTTTCCACTTCATGTGCGTGGATACATTGCATCCTCAATTAGTACGATATGAGAGTGTGTTCCATCATTCAACATGCACATGCAAGCAAATTATGAAGTCATTTCAATCATATAGCATTAATTAATTTTATATGAAAATGTGAAACACACATGCTAATTATTGTTTATGTTAATATGAATAATCATTAAATATGAGAAAATAAAATAGTATTTAACTTGCAACAATAATTAAATAAGTGTAGTAGTATCCTTCTATGCATTAAATTTAGAAGAAAGCAAAATCATTACAATAATTTAAATACATGAGTACTCAACTCTAATCTTGGTATTGTGATACTCTACTTTTGCTCCTAACACCAACGTTAATAGAATCAACATCTATACGAAGACCTTAGTGTAAAAATTTTAAATGATAAATTTACTATTAATTTATATAACTTAATATTTAAAAGATTCCTTTTAGAATTAGTTTATTACTTTCAAATATATGCTCTTTCTTTATCTCTCTATAAATTTATTAGTATAAATATTCATTATATATATATATATATATATATATATATAATTAATTTAATTTATAATTATTTAATGATTAGTTGAGATATTATAATATAAACCTTTAAGAAATAATTATAATTTATAATTTAAATAGTTTAAATTTCAAAATTCTCTATACTCAAAATAAATTATATCCTTTCTAATTTTTAAATGTATATCCCTAAAATTCTTGTTAAATATTTCAAATATTTTATTACTTATAATGATCGTAATTATAAATTTATGAATTATGAAATGAGAATCTCATACTATCATAAAATTTATTCTCTTCGTGTCTACACATACTCTTATAGTCTCTCATCATAATAACTTTTAATTTTAAATATATACTTCATTCATACTTTAATTTGAACTTTAAAATATTTTGATTTTAAATTGTATTAAAATTTCAAAATTAACATATATTACAATCCTAATTTAAAATTTTATAATTAAATAACTCACCTTCCCTAAATCCTTCCAATTAGTCTGCCAACCCCTAGCCTTGTCTAAGCATGTCATCCCTCTCTCATTCGATCCCACTCATGCGAGCCCCACTCGGCCTCTACACTTTTCTTTTCCACCTCACTCCTCTCACTCGGCACTCATGCGCTCTTATAGAGTTTGATCATCTCCTCGTTTCATCTCCTCCTATACCTAGCGAGATAAACGACTCTTCCTTCTCCTATGTGTTCCACTTCCCCGTCTAAGAATAAGGGTAGTTCGTCTTCTTAAACTCCAAACTACGGATCTCCACTTCAAATCCAAGCGACCGAAAGGTCCTTCGTCTGCCTCACGACTCAAAATTGACACAGTAGGTTGGTTGCAACGAACCCTTCGCCTCCTTTGTCTTCCCACACGCCTTCTTCGACTCCACCTGATGGAGTCAACCACGACACCAAGGGACAAAATGAGTTTCTTCATCCCCTTTACTCCTTTAGACTTGTCTCCCATTATTAGCCATTAAAATTATAGCATTGATCATGAAAAGTAAAATGTGAAATTAAAAAAATGCATTAGCAAGTTCATGAAATGATTTTCAAAAGAAATGCTCAATATTAGAAGCAAGCTAAAAAATCTCGGACTCCATCTTCTTTAAAGGAAGGTGACTATATTTGGATTCATCTACTTAAGGAGTGTTTTCCCACTAAACATTTTGCTAATCTTAAACCAAAAGCTGATTGATCTTCTGAAGTAATTAAGCATATAGGAAAGAATGTCTATAAAATTGAATTATCGAGAGATATGAACATTTTAGCCACCATCAATGTAAGAGATCATTAGCAAGGCAAGGGATTTTTGAACTTTTCCAATAAATCAATTTTAATTCAAGTTGAAAGAATTAAAGGATCTGATGAGAAGGAATTCCTAAGTAAAAAAAAAAATGCTATTTGAAGTTATTTGAGCATAATTGAATTGATGAACTCAGAAAACATTACAAATTGATGAAATCGTTATTATAGGCTATTTACCAAAGGTCAAGACTCAGAAAAAAAAAAATAAGGAAGTCTGTCGCAAGCGGATCCAATTATTGCTGTGAGATACTCAACTTTTAATATAAAGGTTAAATTATTCCTAAGAACAAAGTTTGTTCATTTTATTATTTATATGACCTATTGTAGAAATTTCTTTGTAATGAGAATGTTAAAATGTCCAAGAGCATTAAAAAACTTAATACATATTATACATTTATGCATGTCATATGATCATAAATTTATATGATTTTAAGTTAAACCTCATTAATTTCAGGATTAAGATTGTTAGTCAAATAAGATGTTCAAATGAGTATTGTTACATATATCATATTATATCATCAATGATTATGAAATGAATAATCAATACTCATGTCAAGTGTCCAAGAATGAGAAAGATTAAAATATCAAGAATGAAATTCAAAGGATCATATGAAATGCCATATCATTTGAATTAGGTGAACTAAATTTGATGACATGCACAGAAAGAGATGATTCATAATACTAGATAGTGGTTGGTACAGACCTTACAAAAAAATGAATGAAAAAGAATTCCTGAATTTTGATGCAAAGGAATTGGTCAACCACTTTTACTCAGAGATCATCTTGAGATTGAAAAGTTGGTTAGTCCAACCATTATCAAAGCAACAAAATGAAACTTCTGACCCTTGATACTAGAGAGTTGGGTAGCTAAACATTTATCAAGGAGCGAAGCTACAAAAGGGTCAAAGCATATAAAATAAAAAATAAAAAGGCATATGAAATGAGGAAATGATTATGTATTTTGCTCCATACATCAATTATTTTATTGGATGTATGAATTCATAAATTTTAAGAGAGATATATTATGATAATAAAAATTAAAGATATTTGGTATGTACAAACTTATTTTGGAATTTATATTAGAAGCTCTTGTGGGCTCCAAAAATTCGGCCCCAGCCTCCGCCCGACTGTTTTTGCTTTTTCTTTTCGGCGAGGGGAGTTTTAACGGAATAAGTGTCGGGTAAATTTTGGGAAGGCAGATGGGTTTGTAGATAAGACACTACCCAGAGATTTATCCCTCATTTTATGATGACTTTATGATCTGAGTTCTAGTTTCCTATAGGCTCAAGCCCCTATAGTTAATTACCCCTCCCGATAACGAGAGAGAACATTCGATTAAGGCTAGTTGTCAATCTGATATGTAGAGATACACAATATATGCCATATAGTAGTAGCATGGGTTTAGGTTTGAAAAATTGGAAGGGTTTGAATGTTGGAATTGGGTTTGAGTTTGGGCATTTGGAAAGGTTTGATATTTAAAATGGAAAATTTCACCATCTTACACTTAAAGCGGATGGTGGGGAAATGGATGATGGACCCGATCAAGATCCCATGGTTCTGTCGTCCTGGGCCATCGTGGTCCCTGGTCTACTTAGTCAAAGGAGGTAGCCGACCCAACCTGATAGAAGGATCCTTGTC